CCTCTTTTTCTCCGACCTTCTACATTACGAAATATGACATCCTTCTCCAGTGATTGGCCCCGCCTAATAATATGTAGGAAGCATAAGGGACAAAGTCTGCCCACCCTAGCTTCCAAGGAGCACACTAGCTGTACTACTTCCAACAAAGATGTGTTTGTTCTTTTGGAAGTCCATGGTACTTTATATTCTCCTCCAAAACCATAACTCAAATACATTAATTCTTCTATGGTTTTCCTTATTTACTGTCCAACTTTCGCATGCATATGAAGTTACTGAAAATACTATGGCTTGGGTCAGACGCACCTTAGTCCTCAAACTGACATCTTTGTTCTTTACACTTAAGGAGGTCTTGTGCAGCAGATTTGCCTAATGTAATGTCAATTGACTTCTTGACTGCTGCTTCCATGATTATTGACGGCTGATATGAGCAAAATGAAGTATTTGACAACTTTAACCTTTTCTCCATTTATATAGATAAACATCCTTCTGATATTCTCTGCTTTCAGCCAAGATCCATCGGACATCTGCAATGATAACTCTCGTTCCACGACCTCTTCTGAATCCAGCTTGAACCTCTGGAAGTTCTCTGTCAATGTATGATTGTAGCCATTTCTGTATTACCTTGAGCAAAACTTTACTCGCTTGAGATATCAAAGAGATTGTAAGATGATTTCCACATTCCGTTGGTTCACCTCTTTGGAATAGGCACAAATATGGATCTCTTCCAATCTGTCGGCCAGATAGTCGTCTTCCAAATTTCTTGGCAGAGATGAGTGAGTGCCTCCTGTGCCGCCTCACTTTCTTGAAAGATTTCAATTTTTATTCCATCAATTCCTGGTGCCTTGTTCTTTGCCAATGCTTTCAATGCATTTTGGACTTCCTCCTTGAGTATCATTGGCTATACTAACTCTTGAAATGGCTGAACATCCACCATTTCTTTTTGGGACAGTGACTCTGTATTCCTTCCATCTTCTTTTGATGCTTTCCGCATCTGCAGCTGGTAGGTTTGAACCGCCGACCCTGTGGTTAGCAGTCCAGTGCGTATTCTACAACGCCACGGCATGAGTCCAAATAATACTTATGTCTTATTAACTATTATACATGGTATGATATCATGGATTATCTAACATCTCTCCTAGTCATAGGCTGTAACTCCCACCAAACAATGTTTCTGCATTGCTGGATTTTGCTGGGTCTGGGTAAGATAAGGTGGGAGAAATTATGGATAGGGTGACATGATTCAGCTGTGGACGTTAGCTGAGTTAATTGTAAGTGAAAAACTTGATACTCCAGCATGAGTATAAAACGAACCACCTCAGAAGCAGGAAGGGGGATCTCACAATCATCAAAGAAGAAGAGCCAGGATGGAGTGAGCCCTTTGGATCCCGAGATCACTCCGCATGCAACCTTCTCAACCCAGAGAGAGACAGCTGTGACACTGGAGGCGTGGCAGAGCAGCAGAACCAGGAACCAGAGCATGAGACAGAGCAGTGGACTTCCCAGCCTTCAGAGCAAGTCAAAATGACTGACTCAGGGCAGGAAACCTGCTTGTAGAGTGGGGTGCCTCAAGGGACTTAAGTGGGGGAACTAGGTTTGCTAACCCAGGGAGCTAGAGCCAAGTGCCTTCAGACCAAGGCTTATGGTGGAGCAGTGTACCCTATGGGCATTCATCAGCAGCTGAGTGCAACAACTGTAACCTGAGAATTTCTGACCCCAAATTGTCACTGTTAACTTCCTTAATAAAGCCCATAACTCTGAATATGGTATCTGAGTACTAAGTGGTCACTGCAATGGATTAATGAACCCAAAAGAGTAGGAGGTAGAAGGTTGTGGAAGAAATGGTTGGTGCTTCATATTTTTGCACACAACAATCTTTTACATACGATTTTTTTAAACAAGTGATGTTAGTGGTTTCATTCATTCAAAAACATTTATTACGCATCTGAGTGCAAAGTACTGAACTAAGCATTGGATATACAATAGTGACTCAAACAACTGTTTGGAGTCATGGAGTTTTCTGTCTAGCAGAGCAGATTGGCAATAGATAATGAAGAATTACAAAGTAATACAAGAAAACAATCATAATGCTGTGAGAGACAGAGTTTAAGAAGACACCTATCACACTGGCCAGGAAGAGCTTTCCTGACAATATAATAGTGAAACTGAGACATGAAGAAAGAGAAGGCATTATCCATATAATAACCCTGGGTAAGAGCTGGTTGCATTTAGAGAGCTCAATGCAAGCCTCAAAGAAGAAAGACTTTAGATTTTATTTGAAATGTAACAAAAATGCACTGAAAAGTTCTACACAAAGACTTTAAACACATAGTGGTTAAGAGCCAATTTACTTTCTTAAAAGATCACCCTTGCTGTTTAGCAAAGTAAACAATAAAGGAATCGGGGAGACCATATACTGAGACTACTACAGTACTGTAGACAAAAAAAAAAGTAAATGGCTGCAAGAGAAGTGGAGATACTCAGAATATATTCTGAAGATGTATTGCTCATTACTGGTGACTGGAATGCAAAAGTAGGGAGCAAAGAGGACAGTCCATTAATTGGAAAATTTGGACTTGGTGATAGAAATGGTGCTGGAGAACGAATGATAGATTTCTGTAAGACAAACGATTTGTTTATTTCAAATACCTTCTTTAGACAGCATAAGAGACGACTATACACATGGACCTCGCCAGATGGAACACATAGAAATTAAATTGACTACATATGTGGAAGGAGAAGATGGAAAAACTCCATTTCATCAGTGAAGACAAGGCCAGGGGCAGACTGTGGAACAGACCATCAATT